CCCACCCAAGCACGTAATCTAAGAAGGGTTGCCATGAGGAGACAAATTTGGAAACAGTATTGTCTCTTATTAATGCTGTTAACTTTGCCATTTGAGCCAAGTCCATTAATTTAATAATCCATTCTTCCCCTGTAGGTATTTGTGAATCCTTCCATATATAAAAGAGGAAGAGCCACTATCAAGGCATGGAACCTTGTCCAAATCTGGTGCGGCTTTCTCCTGGGGCTTTGGAAGTTTTCAAAGCCTTGTGAGAAGGCCGCTGATGATTGCATGTTGCCCAAATTGAGCAGAGCCCAGGGTGGCAGAGCCAATGGAGCCCAGGACAGCAGGGTGGTAGAGGGCACGGGGTGCTGTTTAGAGATGGGGGATAGACAGGTGGGTTGAGGGAGTTGAAACTCCCCTCCAGTGTTAAGTGCAGGCAGGCTGCCAAGTGCCTGAATTTTGATCATGTGACCAAAGGGAAGATGCAAAGGCGGTAACCTGGGGACCAGGCATAACTACCATTTGTTCAGCATTGCTGTAACTTGGAACGGTTGCTAAATGAATGGTTGTTAGGCAAGGACTACATGTATAACCTTATGATAAAAGTAGTACGGCCTGCATAAGTTTCATTTCCTAGTATGATCTACCTTGAAGGACTGAGAAAACCCTGCCAGTCTGTGGATTGGTCCGGGGCCTGGTGGGAAGGGTGGTTTTTAAATAAATAAATAAATAAATTCCTACTTTTATGAGCTGTGGTGAGCTGCTGAGGATCATAATATGAAATAGGAAGCCATATATGTTCTATAAATAAACAAACAAATAAATCTGGGTAGAAAAGGGAGTGTCATCCCCCACCCGCCGCCAAGTCATGCCATGCTGCCTCATCATGGCAGGGTGGTATCCCTGGGGGGGATGAGTGAAGAACGTCAGGAGTGTATGCCAAAAGTCCATATTTCCAGCAGGATCGCCCAAGGTGTGGAAGTCATTCCAGCAAGCAGGCACCTTATACTTGGCAGCAGTGATACAGGAAGATGCTGGAGGCAGAT